CAGGACTGGTTTTCAGGTAGGAATTAGACGTTTCAGGACGCATCAGTCACGTTGATTCCAGGCGTTTAAATCACAAGAGTACTGTTTTGGTATAGTTGGGGATTCTCAGACGGTTGTCTTATACTGGAGCACATCTCGCACTGCAAAAATTGCTGAAGGCCTTACAGCCAGTGCCGACGACCTTGAAGGCAGGACCTTCCCTCTGACCCCGGGGCCCTCTCCTGGGAGCCCGGGGCCAGGGCTCGTGCCAGGGCCGGGGCCAGGGATCGGGGCCGGGGCCGGGACCAGGGCCAGCCCCCTCCTCCCAGAGGGCGGACCCATTCCTGCCTCCCCTGGTCACAGGTGGGACCACCCCCTGGGACCCCCGGGGGGCGGTAGCCCTACCCCCCCGTACCTGTTCCCCCCGGTCCAGGAAGGGATGAAGGGAAGGGAATCGTCTTGATTATGACGTTTGTTTGTTTTCTCTGTTCGTTCCCCAATGTTCTTGGGACTGCCGACGACGACGATGACGACGAAGACGAACACGACGACAGCGTCTCACACTCGCCGAAGGGCTTCTCTCCTCCCCGTCCTCCTCTCTCTCTCTCTCTCGACGCGCCGTCGGGCGTCCCCGAGGCGCCCACGCGGCGCCGGCGCGCGCGCGCCACTGGCCGTCGCGGGGGCCACCCCTCTGCACGAACGAGGTGGGCACGGAAAGTTGGAGCGCGTTACTTAGTTCGTTCGGGGGGTCAGAAAAAAACAGGCGTTCAGAGGGTCAGTGGGTGGTCGTTCGCGCTGCAGTGCTATCTGCGATTGCAGGGGTGGCCAGGCCATGGGCGGCCACTGCGAAACGCGTCGCGAGCAACGAAGCCGACGATGGGTGATTGTACCCATTCTTTCAAAGAGTGGGTACAATGCCCAACAGCAGCTCCTGTTCGTTTTGAACCAGCCTCGCTGTCCGCGCCGCCGCGGCCTGTGTCCACTTGAGACAGATAGGGGGCCAGATGCGGCCAGATGCGAACCCCACCCTCCCCTAGCGAAGTGAACCCCACCCTCCCCTTCAGAAATCGTGGGGGGTAGGGGTAGGGTTCGCATGTGGCCCCCTAACAGAGGGCCGCCTGCCCAACAGCGGCCGCTGTTGGTTTGGGGCAGCATTTGTTGTTGGGCATCGTACCCACTCTCCGGTACCCCTTTCGGGTGTCCAGAACCCCGTTCCTCAGGAGGGAAAAAAACACACAGACACAATTGATCGTCCGTTCCCAAGAAAATATTGGAAAATGTGGGAATTGGGCGGGACACAAAAACCCAGAAAATATATGAAAATATTGGGAATCTGGTTATTTGTGTGTATTTATTTGTGTGTCCCAGGGCCCCTTCAGTTCCAGAGAGGGAAGGAGAGGGAGGATGGCACTCGCTCACAGCCACATCCGAAGGCCCACCGAGGCAGTCCCACGCGATCGCAGACATGGACCAAGGGGGCGTGGATCAATCCGCGACGGGCCCCGCTTCCATGGGAAAGCGCCGAGCTCCGCCGCCGAGCGAGGCGGCACCGGCCGCACTCTGGGGAGGGCACCTCCCCCGATCCAATGGACTCGGCGGCCGCGCGCCAGGTCCATGGATCGCCAATCCTCTCTAGCGCGCCCCCGAAGGAGGAGCCCTCCCCCCCTCGTGGGCGCCCCCGACCGCCCGACCGATCCGCGATGGATTTGGCGACCACGCGTCAAGTCCATGGATCGCCAATGCCTCTCTTGCGCGCCCCCGAATGAGGAGCCCTCCCCCCCTCGTGGGCGCCCCCGACCGCCCGACCGATCCGCGACCCTCGCGACCGATCCATGGACCCACACCCCCGACGTAATGATGGTTTCATTACGTCGACCCCCAGAGGTCCCGACCCTTTCCCCAGGACCGGCTTTGCATCCTGAGCCGTTTTTTGACGCTCCCGAGGCCCGGTGAGGGCCCCCGGAGGCCGAAAATCAGGAAAAACTTTCCGTCATGATTTTTTCCCAACCATCCTGTGGTGTTGGGTCCTCGTTTTGAAGAGACGTCGCCCCGCGTTCCTCCTTCCTCCTCCTTCCTCCTCCTCCCCTTCCTCCCCCCTCCTCCCCCTCCCACACCCATTCTGGCACACCCCTCACACGTTTCGTGGCCCCATAGGGAGCTCCACCGAAGGCCCCAGTGGCTGCGCCCGCATGCGGTTCCACCCCCCATTCTGGCACACCCCTCACACGTTTCGTGGCCCCATAGGGAGCTCCACCGAAGGCCCCAGTGGCTGCGCCCGCATGCGGTTCCACCCCCCATTCTGGCACACCCCTCACACGTTTCGTGGCCCCATAGGGAGCTCCACCGAAGGCCCCAGTGGCTGCGCCCGCATGCGGTTCCACCCCCCATTCTGGCACACCCCTCACACGTTTCGTGGCCCCATAGGGAGCTCCACCGAAGGCCCCAGTGGCTGCGCCCGCATGCGTTCCACCCCCCATTCTGGCACACCCCTCACACGTTTCGTGGCCCCATAGGGAGCTCCACCGAAGGCCCCAGTGGCTGCGCCCGCATGCGGTTCCACCCCCCATTCTGGCACACCCCTCACACGTTTCGTGGCCCCATAGGGAGCTCCACCGAAGGCCCCAGTGGCTGCGCCCGCATGCGGTTCCACCCCCCATTCTGGCACACCCCTCACACGTTTCGTGGCCCCATAGGGAGCTCCACCGAAGGCCCCAGTGGCTGCGCCCGCATGCGGTTCCACCCCCCATTCTGGCACACCCCTCACACGTTTCGTGGCCCCATAGGGAGCTCCACCGAAGGCCCCAGTGGCTGCGCCCGCATGCGGTTCCACCCCCATTCTGGCACACCCCTCACACGTTTCGTGGCCCCATAGGGAGCTCCACCGAAGGCCCCAGTGGCTGCGCCCGCATGCGGTTCCACCCCCCATTCTGGCACACCCCTCACACGTTCGTGGCCCCATAGGGAGCTCCACCGAAGGCCCCAGTGGCTGCGCCCGCATGCGGTTCCACCCCCCATTCTGGCACACCCCTCACACGTTTCGTGGCCCCATAGGGAGCTCCACCGAAGGCCCCAGTGGCTGCGCCCGCATGCGGTTCCACCCCCATTCTGGCACACCCCTCACACGTTTCGTGGCCCCATAGGGAGCTCCACCGAAGGCCCCAGTGGCTGCGCCCGCATGCGGTTCCACCCCCCATTCTGGCACACCCCTCACACGTTTCGTGGCCCCATAGGGAGCTCCACCGAAGGCCCCAGTGGCTGCGCCCGCATGCGGTTCCACCCCCATTCTGGCACACCCCTCACACGTTTCGTGGCCCCATAGGGAGCTCCACCGAAGGCCCCAGTGGCTGCGCCCGCATGCGGTTCCACCCCCCATTCTGGCACACCCCTCACACGTTTCGTGGCCCCATAGGGAGGTCCACCGAACGCTCCAGTGGTTGCGCTCGCATGCGGTCCCACCCCCCATTTCGGCACGCCCTTCACACGCTTCGTGGGTGGCTCCATGGGGAGCAGCTCCACCGAACGCCCCAGTGGCTGCGCTCGCATGTGGTTCCCCCCCCATTTCGGCACACCCCTCACACGGTTCGTGGCCCCATAGAGAGCTCCACCGAAGGCCCCAAGTGGCTGCGCTCGCATGCGGTTCCACCCCCTTTTTCGGCACGCCCTTCACACGTCTCGTGGCCCCATAGGGAGCTCCACCGAACGCCGCAGTGGCTGCGCTCGCATGCGGTTCCACCCCCATTTCGGCACACCCCTCACACGCTTCGTGGCTCCATAGGGAGCTCCACCGAAGGCCCCAGTGGCTGCGCTGGCATGCGGTTCCACACCCCCATTCTGGCACACCCCTCGCACGCTTCGTGGCCCCATAGGGGGCCCCACCGAAGGCCCCAATGGCACTGCCCGCTTGCGCCCGCCACCACCCAGCACAGCCCTTGTTCCCTGCGCTTCACCCACCCAGAACAGCGCTTCGTAGCCCTATAGGGAGCCCCACCAAAGGTCCCGGCGGCACCGCCCGCATGCGCCCGCCACCACCCTGCGCAGCCCTTGCTCCCTGCCTGCGCTTCACCCACCCAGCACAGCGCTTCGTGGCCACATAGGGAGCTCCACCGAAGGTCCCAGTGGCACCGCTCGCATGCGTCCGCCACCACGCAGCACAGCCCTTGCTGACCGCGTCTCACCCACCCAGTACAGCGTTTCGTGGCCCCATAGGGAGCTCCACCGAAGGTCCCAGTGGCACCGCCCGCATGCGTCCGCCACCACCCAGCACAATTGCGGCATTCACAACTGCATATGGTTGGGTCCTTCGCCAGGCTATTTCATTACTCGAGGGGGTCTGGGGATTTGGCGACCACGCGTCAAATCCATGGATCGCCGATGCCTGTCTGCGCGCCCACCGGGGCAGGGCGGCGGGGGGAGGGGCGGCCGGGCCGCTCGTGGGCCGTCGTCGCGGTTGCGCGGGTGGCCTTCGTCGACGTCGTCGGCGGCGGCGTCGTCGTCGTCGTCGTCGTCGTCGTCTTCTTCCTCCTCTGCCTCCTCCTCCTCCTCCTCCGCCTCCTCCTCCTCCTCCGCCTCCTCCTCTGCCCTCCTTTCTCCGCCTCCTCCTCCTCTCCCTCCTCCTTTCTCCGCCTCCTCCTCCTCCTCTCCCTCCTCCTTTCTCCGCCTCCCCTTCTCCCTCCCTCCTCCTCCTCCTCCGCCTCCTCCTCTGCCCTCCTTTCTCCTCCTCCTCCTCCTCCTCCTCCTCCTCCTCTCCCTCCTCCGCCTCCTCCTCCGCCCTCCTCCTCCCTCCTCCTCCTCTTCCTCCGCCCTCGTCGGCGGCGTCGTCGTCGTTTTCCTCCTCCTCCTCCTCCTCCTCCTCCTCCTCCTCTCCTCCTCCCTCCTCCTCCCTCCTCCTCCTCCTCCTCCTCCTCCTCCCTCCTCTCCTCCTCCCTCCTCCTCTTCCTCCTCCTCCTCCGCCTCCTCCTCCGCCCTCCTCCTCCGCCCTCCTCCTCCGCCCTCCTTCCTCTCCCCTCGGCGTGGCCCCGCAGCTGGAGAGCTTCTGCGGGGTGACCGCGCGGGAGGCGGAGCAGCGGGAGGGCGACCCGGGACGTTCTCGAAGCCCGCCGCGGCCGCGGGACGTTGTCGAAGCTCGCCGCGGCCGTGGCCCGGAGGGCGCTCGTGGAGCGGCGCCCGCACGGGCAGGAGTTCTGGTCGGTCGGGAGCTGTTGGAACTGTTGGCCAGCGTGTCGGTTTGGGGGGTTTCCCCGAAGGGCTTAGGCGACCCGTCCTCCTCCTCCTCCTCCTCCTCCTCCTCCTCCTCCATCTCCTCCCCCTCCCCCTCCGCCTCCTCCTCCTCCTCCTCCTCCTCGCGTCGCCTACGGCCCCGGGGAAACCGTCCGTGTCGGTTCCAGGTTCAAAGTTCGTTTTTTCGGATGTTACTGTTGGCTCTCGGTGGCTTTCCAGCCTCGGGACGCCAGCAGCGGCGCCTCGTCGAGAGCGGTCCAGGGGGGGCTCGGATCGCCCCGAACGGTCAAAGTTCGTTTTTTCGGATGTTACTGTTGGCTCTCGGTGGCTTTCCAGCCTCGGGACGCCAGCAGCGGCGCCTCGTCGAGAGCGGTCCAGGGGGGGCTCGGATCGCCCCGAACGGTCAAAGTTCGTTTTTTCGGATGTTACTGTTGGCTCTCGGTGGCTTGCCAGCCTCGGGGCGCCAGCAGCGGCGCCTCGTCGAGAGCGATCCAGGGGGGGGCTCGGATCGCCCCGAACGGCCGCTGGAGAGCCGAGCCAGGGCCCGAAGGAGAAGCTGAAACAATAGCAACAACGGCAACAACAAAACATCAAACACAATCATCGACCATCCCCAACGACATAACAACGACAACAACAAGACAATCAAACGACATTATCGATTGGCCCCAACACAATAGCAGCGGCAGCAACAAAAAAACAACTCAAAACAGCAGCAACAACAACAACAAGGGATGCGGTCGGGAGCTCTGGCTTGGAGCGTGTCGCGCCGCGGGCTCTGGCCCACCACGCGCGTGGGCGCGGCGCGTGGTCCCCGAGACGTCAGTGTCCCGAGCCTTTGCCCAGCCTCCTCCGCCTCCTCCTCCTCCTCCTCCTCCTCCTCCTTCTCCCTCCCCCTCCCCTCCTCCCCTCCTCCTCCTCCTCCTCCTCCTCCTCCTCCTCCTCCTCCTCCTCCTCCTCCTCCTCCTCCTCCTCCCCCTCCCCCTCCCCCTCCCCTTTCCCATCCTCCCGCCCCTTTCCCATCCTCCCGCCCCGCGGAGCAGAGCGACACGCTGCCCGCTCGCAGGGCATGGCTTACCAGCCTCAAACGTATCCCTATCCCTAAGATTGACACGCCAAAAGGCGACGACAATCTCAGGGACTCGCCCTCAAAAGATAAGGGAATCCCTAAGACTGGCATCGTGATGAGGAGGTGCCCAGCATAGGGATAGGGATATGTTCCAGGCTGGTAAGTAGCGTGTCGCCGGGGCCGCCACCGCGACACGCTGAGCAAGCGCTCCTGACCTCAATGGGCAGCATGTAACCCAGACCCCCGACGTCATGTTTTTTGTTTTTGTGTTTTTAGCAACGTCGACCCCAAGAGGTCTGACCCCTTCCCCGGGACCGGTTTCTCATTCTGAGTCGTTTTCGGACGTTCCCGAGGCCCAGGAAGGGCCCCCGCAGGCCAAAATAGCAAAAAAAAACCCTCCGCCGTGATGCTTTCACAGCGCGAGGGGATCTGGGAGGAGTGACCCTCCGCCGGAGAGATTTTTGGGTGCGGGCCCATAGGGGGTCCTCCCGGCGCGGGCCTGCGCGGTTGGATCTGCCTCTCCCCCCCCCTCGAGGCCCCCCCCCCCGAGAGCCGCGCCACAAAGGTCGTCGTCCTCCCCGTCCCCTTCCCTTTTTTTCCTGCGCCCTGCCTTGTCTGATTGCGGCTGCTCCTCCCCTCCTCCTCCTCCTCCTCCTCCTCCTCCTCCTCCTCCTCCTCCACCTCCTCCTCCTCCTCCTCCTCCGCCTCCTCCTCCTCCTCCTCCTCCTCCTCCACCTCCTCCTCCTCCTCCTCCTCCTCCTTCCCTCTCCTCCTGCTCCCTGCCTGCTGTCTCCGCCCGGCGCCCCTGCCGCCCGCCCCGCCAGCCCCGACCTCCCGCCGGCACGTTCGTCGTCGTCGTCTGCCTGCTGCTCTCCTCCCTCTTCCCCCCTTCGCCGGGCAGCAGAGCTTATCGCAGGCCTCCCGGGACTGCTGTGACCCGCCGCCGTCGGGAGCCTCGCGACGGGGGTCAATGCAAACGGGGGTCAGCCAGAGCGCCGGATCTTGCAGGCTCCTGCAGGGCCAGGGTCGCACTGACCCGGGTTTGGGTGCAGGATCCGGCAGGATGTTGCAGGATCCTTCGCATTGAACCGGGTTTGGGTGCAGGATCTTGCAGGATCCTGCGAGGCCCGACTGACCCGGGTCTGGATTGACCCGGGTCAGCAGATCCCTGACGCCGAGCGCCATTGGCCGCTAAAAAAACTGCTGTCCTCACTGCTGGCACCGTAGGCGGGCTATAATACGGCGATGCAGGTCACGGCGGTGTAGGTTTCGGCGGTGTGGGAACGCGTGGTTCGCGCTTTCCTGCACTTGGCTGTGTGGTGTTCGCTCGATGCACTCGCAGATGGAGCATGTAGGAAAGTGTGGTGCGTGATTTCCTACACTTCGGTTCCCAACATCATTGTTAGGCAACATCGCCGCTCGCCCGGCCTCGGGGGCAGGCGGGCTTCTCTAAGAGGCCCGCCTGGCCTCTATACGATGCCTACTTACAGGTCGCGGGTGCCTTCTCAGAGGTCCCCTGGCTTCTCAGGACCCACCAATCCTGCCTTCTCGGTAAGAGGAGGAGCAGGGAGACACGCAGAAGGAGGAGGACGATACCCGCGAATGGTTCTTAGCTTTAGCCCCCTCGCCCCCTTTCCTCTTGGCGGTAACAAGGGCTGGCCCTAAAACCTCCTCCTCCTCCTCCTCCTCCTCCTCCTTCTCCCTCCCCCCCCCTCCTCCACCTCCGCCTCCTCCTCCTCATGCTTTTCCTCCTCCTCCTCCTCCTCCTCCTCCTCCCCCTCCTCCTCCTCCTTTCCTTCCTCCTCCTCCTCCTCCTCCTCCTCCTCCTCCTCCTCCTCCTCCTCCTCCTCCCCCTCCTCTTCCTCCTCCTCCTCCTCTCCTCCTCCTCCTCCTTCTCCTCCTACGCATCAGGCGTGGGCCTCGAGGATGGGGCATGGGGAGGACGCACGCGTCGTGAACGCGAGCCCCGTGCGGACGGGGGCATCCCCGGGGCGTCCGACGCCGCGGGAGGTCGCGACGACGTGGCCAGCACGCCGCACGATCGACGCTGCGTCGACCCCGACCCCATACGGTGGAGGCCAGTCTACAAGAATCAGGAGAGGAAAAAACACACAGACACAATTAATCCTCGATTTCCCAGAAAATATGGGAAAATATGGGAAGTGGGGGGGAAGACAGAAACCCAGAACATATAGGAAAATATGGGGAATATTTTTATTTGTGTGTATTTATTTGTGTGTCCTGGAGCCCCTTCAAAGAAACCTCCCACAAGAAACCCAACCCTGAGACCCCAGGACGTCCAGTCACTTCTCGGTGCGGGAGCGTCGCGCCTCCCAGCGCGAGGCCACCGAAACGCAGGGAGGAGCCCCTGGCGCCCCCCTGGGGGCGAGCAGGGTGCCTCTCGTCGTGGGCCTCCGCTGTCCAGCCAGGGTCGCCGAGACGAGGGGCCAGGCCAGGGTGCGGGAGGGGCTTCTGGCTCTCGCGCCGGGCCGCTATATACAGTGCCGTTTTTTTTATACATGCTCCGCGTGCGGATCATGCACTAAACATGCAGGGATTTAGTATTGACGTGGAGGAGGAGGAGGAGGAGGAGGAGGAGGAGGAGGAGGAGGTGGAGGTGGAGGGCGAGGAGGGCGAGTATGAAAAGCAACGAGGAGTTCATGCATCAGTTTATTCACACATTCGTCATGTATGACAAATCCAAAATGTTTTAAACATCCCACGTGTTAAAAACTGCCCTGGCCCTGGCTCGCGCGCATGGCCGCTATCTACAGTGCCGTTTTTTATACATGCTCCGCGTGCGGAGCATGTACAACAGATGCAGGGGTTTAGTAGTAAAAGCAACGAGGAGTTCATGCATCGATTCATTCATAACTTAGTCATGTATGACAAATCCTATATGGTTTTAAAATCCAACGTGGTAAACACTGCCCTGTAGGCCCTGTAGTCCCAGCTCGGGGAGCCCGTCCGCGGCCGAGGCTCGCCACGGCCAGGGCGGGCCCTCGTCGTGCATCGCTCCGCGCTCCTCTTCGCGCTCCCCCCTCCTCCTCCTCCTCCTCCTCCTCTTCCTCCTCCTCTCCCCTCCTCCTCCTCCTCTTCCGCCTCCTCCTCCTCCTCCTCTTCCGCCTCCTCCTCCTCCTCCTCCTCCTCCTCCTCCTCCTCCTCCTCCTCCTCCTCCCAGCTCGACGCCCGGGTCATCTGCCGGGATTCTCCTCGAGGCGTGCGTCGACGGGGGAGGGGGGCGGCCCTGTGGTTTCCCCCGGGGCGGGGCGAGCGTTCCCGTGGCCGTGGCTTCGTTGTTTCCCTCATGTCGCCCAGGCGTCAGGGGGGAGGGGGGAGGAGGAGGAGGAGGAGGAGGAGGAGGAGGAGAAGGAGGAGGAGGTGGAGGAAGAGGAGTAACAACACAGTAGTAATACTCATGATGTTAATGCGAAGCTTCGACTAAGAATGAGAAGATCAAGTACATAGACTTGGCCTTGCGATGCATGTATGATGTCTCGTAAGTGCCTGCTCGCACCTGCTGTATGCTGCACCACTCGAGCAGGAGGAGTTTCCTCCCAGTGGTTTCCTTGCTCTCGTGGAGGGGGGGGGGGTCGTGGCGCAGCCGCGCCACCCCCTTGCTCAGGCCGGGTGGCTCTTGAGGTCCAGGTCTCTGAGCTTCGGGTGGTCGGCTTTCCTCTTTCGCCTATTTCCTTGCTCTTTCCTCTGTCTCCTTATCTCTTTTGGGAAGGGTAGGAGGAGGAGGAGGAGGAGGAGGAGGAGGAGGGAAAGAGAAATGAGGACGGAATCGGGATGG